TTAAATTGAAAGTTTTATTTATATGAATTATATATATCAAATTTTATATTATTATAATACTTATAACTTTTTAATCAAAAAAATTTATTCATTAATATATATTTAATAATATTAAATTTCTTATTATTAAAAAAGTTATTAGGCTTATTAGAAGAATTTAAAAATTAATATACATAATTTACACATATAATACTTTTAATTTATCAATTAATTTTTAAAAATATTAATTAAGAGATGAATTTTTAAACATGTTCTCTCAAAAAATTTAAGAAAACGAGTTGCAAAACACCTTTTTCTTAACAAATTTATGTCATTTATACATAGATGTTTTCAAATATCATAATCAACTATTAAAAAAAAAACACTATAAACTAATAAAATTAAAATTAAATTCATGACTATAACAAATTTAATGGTGAGGAGCCTCTGTCAGCTTAGATCTGTGAGGAATGTTGTATTCCGGAGAAGTGGAAGAGAGACCTTACTTCTTGGAATCTGGAAAGGAGGGCATATCCTTTCTTTTTTCGTTTTTTCAAATCACTAACATCTTCTTTTAGATATGAGGTGATTCGAAGAAAAGAATAATTTCCATGACTTAGACAAATCAAAGAATTTGTAGATATGCCGTAGATATTGGGACATTAGAAAATAGGAGGGTCATTACGTCTCATACGACACATGCAATATGTTATACCAGCTACATAGGAAAGATTCCTATGCTGAAAGTCAAGCCAAGCAGAATGATACTAAGGTCGGTATAAATCAGCAAGAGTTCATACACAATAGGACAATGCCTTATTTTGTCTTGCCTTTTGAGTAGACTAATTCAATGGTAGGTACACTCAGGTTGTGAAAGAGAAACTGCATATTTCACCTTAAATAAGGTGAAAAACACAGCAGTTGGATCTCAGACTGTTACTGTTATTACAATGAGACGCATAACATGGAAGAATATCTGGCATATGGTATATGATCAACTAACAATCACTAAATTACTAGTCAAGATAATAAGTTTTAGTTCCCAAGATGCTCAAACCTCTTAGGAAGAACTCTGTAGACGGGTCTTGAGCCATGATTCTAGATACTTCAGCTCTTCGTTGCTTATTGAATGGCCAAGACCAGGGTAGGCCTGTGGAAATCACATGGATAACATAATTTCACAGAAACAGTAGGAAACGGGAGAATGTTTGTTTGCTAAGTTTTAGATGTATACCTTAAACTCACAGCTCACCCCAGCTTGTTCAAGGAATGGAGGGCCTGCTTGTCCAGCCTCAAATAATACTATCCCATCAACAATTCCATGAGACCATAAAATAGGTGTCTGCGAAAGTTTCAGACATTGCATGGTTAAACCAGCAATAGAACTTGCTACCCTCTTTAGAAAAATCAAGCAACAAGCATTAGGTCTTCTGAAACATGTTCCAAAATTTAACAGAATAAAATACTACATATCTTGCAGCTCCCAATTCCTAGAAGAACCCATTGTGGTCTATTAACTTTATTTAAATCCAAAAGCTTTGAGATAAGACTTTTGAGTTGGAGAATGTTGTCTAATGAACCACAAGTCTGCTTACCACTAGTTAACTAGTTATCCTTCAACATAACTACATTTTCATTTCATTTGAGCATAAAAGAAATGACAGAAAAATAAAGGGGAACGTGTTTAAATGAACTACATATGACTGGTATAACTGAATAATCAAAACCTTCTTTGCATCTGGTGGAAATCTTTCTATCAAGGAAGAATTGAAAGGAATCCATCCGCTAAAGACTGCCCCTCCTCCAAGCTTTTTCGGGTACAATAGAACACTAGTCAAGGTCAAGGCACCTGAAAATAATTATCATAATTGGCAACGAATATCATAACTAATGGGAATAAAGTTGCCTCTTGTTGAAAGATAGAGAAAAAGAGGTTCCTACCTCCTTGACTAAATCCACACACAAAAACATTATTAGGATCTGTCCCAGCAGCTACCTCCTTGTCAATCATTGCATGCACATTCTGAACTGCTTTGAGCACACCACTTTCATCTTTTGGAGAATCCTAACCATGTAAATAAAACAAGCAATATCTCCAATGGAATCAGCATCATTGAAATTTGATCGAGAAATGTCCATTGTCCACACAACATATAATTTTATATATAACCAAAAAAGCAAGAGAAGCATAACTTACAGCTGTGACAGGAATCTTGTGGATGTCAAACCATGAAGGCATCACAGCACCAGCTACAATGAAAAAGAAGTTAGAAACGAATCTCATGACTTGAAAAAAAAAAAAAAGAAAAACAGAAAAAAAAAACTCTATCAGAATGTATATCGAGCTATCAAGATCTTTGACATGATCTTGGAACATCATTCTCATTTAAATTCTTCTATTTATAATTCATAGAGACAACATACACATTGGTCTTAACACACTGATTGTTAACTTAAAGCATACGGCCAAGAAACTCCAAAACTGGTTTAACAAAAACAAAGGAAAAAAATGATGCTCCGAAGATTGGAATGTGCCAGCCACTTCCTCCATAATCTAGCAGTGATCTCTCTATGTAAGTCAAATATATGCCATTTTATGCTATAAACTAAAGGATGAAGTTACCATCCCTTTTGGGATTAATTTCCTCTTTTCATTTGTTCGCTATAAACTTGCACAATGTGTTTAGCATTGTCGAAAAGAGTAACATACAATTGTGCAATTGAATAATAAAATTACAACCAGAGAGGGGCGGTTCAACTTAATGTTAACATACACCAGAAAATTCTTTTCCCCTACTTCAAGGAAGCTAGATAATTGGCACAAAACGTAACAGTTTGGTAGGTATCATATGGTCAAGTTCAGGAATTTTTAAACAGACACTTCAATCAAACGCAGAAAATCACACAGCTTGAAATAAATTTCCATTCAGATCACAAAAACAAAATAATTTAGCATAATCAAAAGATACCCAGAAAAGTACTCACATTCAAGATGCTGAAACAAGAAGCAAACAGAAGGTATCAATGAAAAAGAATCAAAATTTTCCAGGGGTCTTACAGTTGCAGGTGACTGGATTTGAAGGAGCAGAAGGGAAGGAGCAGAAGGGAAGGACCATTTGGTACTCCTGAACTCGGGAGAAGTGAAAAGGGTCTTGATGGGTTCATTAGCGGGGCCCGAGTCACCTAACCCATGAAGCCAAAGGACGAGGCTTCGAGCCGCCATGGATTCTGATTGCCGAGGAGACTGGAGCGGCTGGGAATAAATGGATTAAAACAATGGAGTGCTTCCGAGTGTTACTGCAAGAAGCAGTATCGGCTTGGTGAAGAAGGCAGGCTGCCTTTTGGGTCTTCAATGGCGGCGCATTTGTTCAGACATTCCTGGAAATTTTGTGGGAGAGGAGCAAAAGGACTAGAATAACCCTGAAATTTTGTAAATTGCGATGTTGGTCCTTTTCGTTATGTATGGAGGTTCATTTCAGTACCTTAAGTTACTTCCAAACTAACTAACCTAAGATTTTTTTTATTAGAAAGTCATTTTTATTGGAAAAGTTTTTATTGAGAAAATGGTTAAAAAATATAACTCTAATGGGGTAATTTAACAGTTAAAAGTTTGAGACTCTAAACTAAAGATCTTAAATTTAAATTTTAAGTCAAGTTGAGAGGTGTTTGAAAATAGAAGAGAATTATTTTTTTTTATATAACTCATAATTAAATATTAAAAAAATGGTTAAAAGGTATTATATGAAAAATTAGTAAATAATATAAAAAGTTAATAAGTTTTATAGTAAAATTTTGTTGAGTTATTAATTTTTCTGTATTTAGTAATAAATTAATATATGAAAAGTTGGTAAAAATTTTATCAAGTGAATCTTACATAAAAAAAGTTAAGGGAAGATTGTTTTTTCCCCCTAAAAGTATAGGAAGAAAAGTTTATGAGTTAAGAATTATATTAAAAAAAATAAAGATTAGAAATGTTAAATTTATCCTTATTTTATTATAATAATAATAATGTATGCAAATAAATAAATAACCTTAAAATAAAAAAATATTAGAAAAATCTATGGGGAAAAGAGTGGGCAACCAAACATCCCCTAAGTGTATGGGTG